ATCCCTGTGCTGTGTCCGCAGTCTCTGGTCATCCCTGTGCTGTGTCCGCAGTCTCTGGTCATCCCTGTGCTGTGTCCGCAGTCTCTGGTCATCCCTGTGCTGTGTCCGCAGTCTCTGGTCATCCCTGTGCTGTGTCCGCAGTCTCTGGTCATCCCTGTGCTGTGTCCGCAGTCTCTGGTCATCCCTGTGCTGTGTCCGCAGTCTCTGGTCATCTCCTGTGCTGTGTCTGCAGTCCATTAGTTCAGAATTTTTTTTTTCCTGTTTTCTGCCTCTAAAACCTAGGTGCGTCTTATAGAGCGAAAAATGTGGTGTGGCTCTCTGACTTTCACAGTTTAAAATTTTGGCTCTTTGTGTCTAACTTGTTCGCCACCCCTGGTATAGTTCCTCCATTTTATATATCTGATCTACCTTTCTTATCCAATCCGTTGTCTTTGGTGTTCCTTCCAGAATTTAGGAATCAAACTCTTTGCTGCGTTAATATAATGCAATAACCCAGAATTTTTGTATTTTTCAACCGTTAACTCTGTTCCATGTAAAAGACGTATCCTTGGATCCTTTGTTATTCTTATCCCAGTTATTTCCTGTATCTGGTGGATTATTTCCTCCCAATATTCCTGAATTTTAGAACACTCCCACCAAACATGAACCGCAGTGCCCTGTTCCCCACATCCCCGCCAACAATCAGCTTCTAACTTCAGCTTGTTTAATAAAGCTTTGACAATAAGCCCCTCATGCACACGGGAGTAAGCTAAAATCAAGTGCCTGAACCCACTGTGCGGGCCCGCTTACGTTTCCTCTAGGAGCCCCCTAACCCAAGTGTACAATGCAATGCAGCTTTGACTTGGAGCCAAGTATGTCTTTATAGGTTGAATGCACTTGTGTTCTGAGGCACTGACCCCCAGTTCACACCTATGCGGCCGTGCGGGCCACGTTTTTCACGGGCACGAGAGCCCATTCATTTGAATGGACTCCCGTGACACGCAGGGAAAGATGTCCCTACACTTCTTTAGAAAACACAGCCGAGGTTCCCAGCATGGTTGCATTTCCCAGTTGCGGGCGGCATGCCATTAGAACTAATGGCACCGACCTGTGGGTCCCCATTCCTCTGTGCGGGTGGTGCGGCTGCACGGATTTTCGTGCAGATTTGCAGCGGCACCACCCGCACAGATGTGAACCTAGGGTGAAGAGGAAGCCTAAAGCGGAACTAAAAAAAAAAAAAAAAAAAAAAAAAAAAAAAAAAAAAAAAAAATGCTAGGAGGTAGGGATTTTTGGCAGAAGACATACAAAGTATTCTGCCAAAATACTTCTTCCTCTTTCCCATAGCAATGTTTTTACATTGATTTTCTGCATACCACACATGCACCATTCAGTGTTCACACCCTGCTCACTCCCAGCATGTGTAGGATGCCAGGAATGGGCCAGGTGCCAGGGGCAATGTAATTCATGCACGTGTGCACAGCAGTTACATCATCAGTAGCTGTCCAATAGTTGAAGAAAACTGCTGCAGAAAAAAAAACTGGCAGCAGAGATGGTGGTGGATGCAGTAGTGACAGACGCCTGGGCCCATCAGCGACAGACGCCTGGGCCCATCAGCGACAGACGCCTGGGCCCATCAGCGACAGACGCCTGGCCCCCAGATCATCAGCGACAGACGCCTGGGCCCATCAGCGACAGGCCCCATCAGCGACACGCCTGGGACGCCGCCTGGGCCCATCAGCGACAGACGCCTGGGCCCATCAGCGACAGACGCCTGGGCCCATGGGCCCATCAGCGACAGACGCCTGGGCCCATCAGAGACAGACGCCTGGGCCCATCAGCGACAGACGCCTGGGCCCATCAGCGACAGACGCCTGGGCCCATCAGGACAATGCAGAAGGAGGCAATGGTGTGCTTGCAGATTATGGAAAAAAGCTCATGCCCACTTCATGGAACCTGTGAGATTAGAAATATAGGAGATGCCAGGTTTGCAAGCTCCAAGACAGTCATTCGAGCCAAATCGGACAGCAGCTCCAGAAGTGGGAACATGTTACACGCTAAAAACATGCGGAACATGTAACATGTTCCCAAAGGTGAACTTCTCCTTTACACACCGTGCCACATCCCCTCCTGTGGCACTCTCATATAAGCCTACCTAAACTATCAGTCTCCCTCCCATTTACCAGCGTACAAAACTGACACAAAACTGGAAGTCCAATTCACCTTTCAGTTTGCAAAATAGGTTCCACCAGGGGCGGACTGACAACTCATGGGGCCCTGGGCAATAGGGGATCATGGGGCCCCTGTGTCCTTGCCCAAACTCAAAAAAGCCTATGAAAAAGGTACCAGGGGAATCTCATGGGGTCCCCTACTGACCCCGGGCCCTCGGGCAGTGCCGAAGTTTCCAAATGGTCAGTCCGCACTTGGTTTCCAGTTGGCTACATTACTTTTGACTGAACAGATTGGCAATTTTTTTTTTGTTTTGTTTACTACACACAGTATGGTCTACGGTAGTGGTTTTTAAACTGGCCCAGGTGCCGGATGCGGCTCTTTGCTTGCCTTTATCCAGCCCTTGGGGTACTTTTCCTCCCACTGACGCCACAATTGGGACTCCCAACAATTGGGAACTATTTCTCCCACTGACGCCCAATTGGGACACGATTCTCCCACTGACACCACCATTGGGAACTATTTCTCCCACTGACACCACCAGGGCACCATTTCTCCCACTGACACCCCCAGGGCACCATTTCTCCCACTGACACCACCAGGGCACCATTTCTCCCACTGACACCACCAGGGCACCATTTCTCCCACTGACACCACCAGGGCACCATTTCTCCCACTGACACCACCAGGGCACCATTTCTCCCACTGACACCACCAGGGCACCATTTCTCCCACTGACACACCACCAGGGCACCATTTCTCCCACTGACACCACCAGGGCACCATTTCTCCCACTGACACCACCAGGGCACCATTTCTCCCACTGACACCACCAGGGCACCATTTCTCCCACTGACACCACCAGGGCACCATTTCTCCCACTGAAACCAGCAATAGGGCACTATTGCTCCCCCTAATACCAAAGATACATGGTTTATTCCCACTAATGTCAGAAATGAATGTTTCTACTCCACATGGCCACGGTCTGGCCCCCTAAAGTCCAAAAGGCCAGTAAATTGGCCATTTAAAAAGTTTGGAGGCTCCAGGTCTATGGTATGCAATACTGTACACTACACATACAGTTCATCCTTTGAAAGCTGCAGGTACTGGGGCATCGTCTGCTTAAAATTCTACTTTACTTTCACATGTAAAATACAAAAGAACTGTAAAAGCAGCCCTTCCCATGTGGGCACAGGTATGCTTTATCAAGGGACAGAAACCCCAATTGCCCTAAAGGAAGCATGGTTGCCTTTCCTTCGATACCGCCATGGTTAGGAACGCTTTGATGGCTCCCATTTTCCATTCTTGGTAATAAAGTAGACTTTTAATCTTGGATCCCTGGCTTCTATGGTATTACATCCCGGTTATACAAGACACACTGAACACTTCAGCTGTAGATTATCCAATTCTTTGACCGATCCTTCCGGTTCACAATAAGTGAGGCATGCTATTGTCTATGAAAAGGACAGGCTTCACAGCTTTACGATTCCCCAAAAAGGTACAACATTTTGCTGCATGTAAGCAAGCCATTTCAATCCTCACCCAGCTGTATTCCTGTGACAAGTGATAAACACGTACAGAACATGGAGTAAGGCCAACCATACACAGATTTCTCTCGTTCAGCCTGTCGAACACCATGTTTGAAGCAATCAGCATTGCCGGCTATTGTATATTAAACCGCTGCAGCCCCTGTGGTGGTCTGAACACCCAAAGAGTGACTACGTCTGACTGGATGAAAAGCAGGAAAGGCGCATTGTATACAGTGACTGGCTGTCACTGTCAGTGCTAGTTTTTAAATGCAATTGCTGTTTTTTTTTTCTTCCCTATAGCTCAGAGAATCAGTTGTCACTTTCCCCGAGCTAAAAGAAACAGTTTTTTTTCCCGAGTTAAAAGAAACGTTTCCTTTTAGTTTCTTTCTAGAGCTAAAAGAAAGTTTCATTCATTTTCTGAGCTATGATGAAGGTAAAATTAAAAAAAAAAAAAAAAAAAAAAAAAAGGCAATTGCATTAAAAATCCGCACTGACATATAGGGGTTTATTTACTAAAGCTGGAGAGTCCAAAATCAGACTCCCTTCTGCATAGAAACCAATCAGCTTCTAACCTCAGCTTGTTCAATGAAGCTTTGGCAATGAAACCTGGAAGCTGATTGGTTTCTATGCAGAAGGGAGTCTGATTTTGGACTCTCCAGCTTTAGTAAATAAACCCCATAGTGACAGCCAGTGAGGGAGCCTCTCTGTATACACTGCTCCTCTCCTGCCCCCTCCTTGCACACACTGCCCACCCTACAAAGATGGCCTGCCACTCATATGCTATCATATAGAGGACTATTGGTCCCCTATGTAATAGCAATAAAAATCATAAGTTTAAAAAAAAAATAAAAATGAAAGTAGAAAAAGAAAAAAAAAAAAAAAAAAAAAAAAAAAAAAAAAAATCGGGAGCTTCCTCACCCCCACATATGCAGACATTTCGGTTTCTGTTCGGTTTTCGGCCACATTTAATTTCGGTGCACCACTAATCAGCACCCTGGTAGTTCATTGATAACTACAAGCCGTCAGTAGTAGTTGTAGTTCTCCCATTCACAGAACTCTGAATGAGTGATGTGGCCAGAGGTTTTTCTTTTTTTTTTTTTACTGACAGCGGGTGCGTGCAGAAGATCCTCAGCCTGCAGTCGCAACGGGGACTCAGAGGGGGTGGGTGTGGGAGTTGCTCAGTAACAGGTTACATCCTAAAAATGGGTACAACACGTTACTAAAAAGTGGACTTATCCTTTCAGTCAATTCTAGCCAAACAAAAACAAAAAGGAATAGCAAACTTGACCAACAAAAACACCACAACAGACACTTTTCTCAGGTTACCTGTAGTTGGTGCTGCTGTGGAGGCTGCTGCTGAACCTGTTCATGTAGCGTGGTCTGCTGCTGAGGGTCCCATATGTGGACAGTTTGTGCTGTATTCTGATAGGCCCCCGCCACAGCCTGTACTGCCACTGGAATGTGAATATTCCCATTCATAAACTGAGCTGGAAATAGGGAGTTGGCCAGAGTCTGAACCACTTCCTCGTGAGCATTTTTGGCCATTTTGTCCTTGTCATCCTCTAACTTTACAGCGGCCACTGTGGTGGGAGAGCCTGTTACATGGACGGCATTGTAGGCCTCTTGGGGGATAGCGATGTGGGTTATGTTCTGTTGCTGCAAATCACTGCGGGTGTTGGTTGAATAAACGGGGATGGTCCAAGTCTCTCCTGTTGGACTTGTAATAGTGCCTGTAGCCCCGTAAAGATGGGCGCTGTCCACTGTCAGCAAGTCTGGCCTTAGAGACACGTAACTCTGTTGCTGTCCTTGGGGGATGGCAAGGACAGCGGCGACGGGCTGCCCTGAAATTGCGTAAGACAAAGTAATGGGCATGTCCACTTTACGTTTCTTAACTGGCTGAAGGACGCTTGACGTGCTAGATCGTCGCTCTCCTTCTCTCGGAGAACCTTGCTGCGGAGGAGGCGGAGAAAGTGCCCCTGCGGTCTGTATCTGAATGCCACTGCCCACAGACTGTCCCGCCACCAGCTGTGCCTGGATCTGCTGGTGCTGTATGTGGTCGTCCTGAATGTCAGAGGGCTGCATCTGCTGCACTTGGATCTGGGCCACCTGTAACTGGGAGTTTGTCAACTGCTGAGAGGGGCTGGGGGATTGAAGGGACTGAGTCTGTATCGTCTGAGCACCCTGCTGTGTCTGAGACTGAGCCGTGCCCTGGATCTGGACTTGCACTTGGATTGGCTGTTCGTTGGACTGATGCACATTGAGCTGCGGTGAGAGCTGCTGAGCGGTCACCTGCTGCGGGGATTGCTGCACCTGTGTAACAAAAACACACCAATTAACAGCGGAATATACATTTTATTGGCTGCTAGGTCTTACAACACTTTGCTTTATTCTTCACGGGGGGACCTCAGAGAGATGCCACTACTGCCCTTCTTTGAAAATTGGCAGTTGCCGGGCTTTCTCTGGCGGTAACATTCAGACACTAAACTGGAACATTCATGCAACCTGTAAAGTCCGAACTGTTGAACTGCATACATGCTTAGATTGTACGCCCCTTGAGGGTCAGGGACTGATGTGAATGTACAATATATATGTAAAGTGCTGCATAAATTGATGGCGCTATATACAATCAGGTCCAGAAATATTGGGACATCGACACAATTCTAACATTTTTGGCTCTATACACCAAAATGGATTTAAAATGAAACGAACAAGATGTGCTTTAACTGCAGACTGTTAGCTTTAATATGAGGGTATTTACATCCAAATCAGGTGAACGGTGTAGGAATTACAACAGTTTGCATTAGTGCCTCCCACTTGTTAAGGGACCAAAAGTAATGGGACAATTGGCTTCTCAGCTGTTCCATGGCCAGGTGTGTGTTATTCCCTCATTATCCCAATTACAATGAGCAGATAAAAGGTCCAGAGTTCCTTTCAAGCGTGCGATTTGCATTTGGAATCTGTTGCTGTCAACTCTCAAGATGAGATCCAAAGAGCTGTCACTATCAGTGAAGCAAGCCATCATTAGGCTGAAAAAAAAACAAAACAAACCCATCAGAGAGATAGTAAAAACATTAGGCGTGGCCAAAACAACTGTTTGGAACATTCTTAAAAAGAAGGAACGCACCGGTGAGCTCAGCAACACCAAAAGACCCGGAAGACCACGGAAAACAACTGTGGTGGATGACCAAAGAATTCTTTCCCTGGTGAAGAAAACACCCTTCACAACAGTTGGCCAGATCAAGAACACTCTCCAGGAGGTAGGTGTATGTGTGTCAAAGTCAACAATCAAGAGAAGACTTCACCAGAGTGAATACAGAGGGTTCACCACAAGATGGAAACCATTGGTGAGCCTCAAAAATAGGAAGGCCAGATTAGAGTTTGCCAAACGACATCTAAAAAAAGCCTTCACAGTTCTGGAACAACATCCTATGGACAGATGAGACCGAGATCAACTTGTACCAGAGTGATGGGAAGAGAAGAGTATGGAGAAGGAAAGGAACTGCTCATGATCCTAAGCATACCACCTCATCAGTGAAGCATGGTGGTGGTAGTGTCATGGCGTGGGCATGTATGGCTGCCAATGGAACTGGTTCTCTTGTATTTATTGATGATGTGACTGCTGACAAAAGCAGCCGGATGAATTCTGAAGTGTTTCGGGAATATTATCTCCTCATATTCAGCCAAATGCTTCACAACTCATTGGACGCTTCACAGTGCAGATGGACAATGACCCAAAGCATACTGCAAAAGCAACCAAAGAGTTTTTTAAGGGAAAGAAGTGGAATGTTATGCAATGGCCAAGTCAATCACCTGACCTGAATCCGATTGAGCATTTCACTTACTGAAGACAAAACTGAAGGGAAAATGCCCCAAGAACAAGCAGGAACTGAAGACAGTTGCAGTAGAGGCCTGGCAGAGCATCACCAGGGATGAAACCCAGCGTCTGGTGATGTCTATACGTTCCACACTTCAGGCTGTAATTGACTGCAAAGGATTTGCAACCAAGTATTAAAAAGTGTAAGTTTGATTTATGATTATTATTCTGTCCCATTACTTTTGGTCCCTTAACAAGTGGGAGGCACATATGCAAACTGTTGTAATTCCTACACCGTTCACCTGATTTGGATGTATATACCCTCAAATTAAAGCTGACAGTCTGCAGTTAAAGCACATCTTGTTCGTTTCTTTTCAAATCCATTGTGGTGCTGACTGTAAGTACCTGTAATAAATAAATAAATGCTCCTGCTGAGGAAGTCAGATATTTGAAGCCGTTTGGATCAGCATGTCAGCCTGGCAACTAGCATTTTCGGAGGAAAGGTCAGTGAAGGCAGCCTATTCACAGGAAAGGGTTCATAGTTCTACTTCTATTTAGAGACAAACCATTTTGTTTTTCTCCAAAAGGTTTACACGAGTGGATCTGAAAGATACCTGCACATACCTTCAGCACAGCAAGCTTCTAGAGCTGGCTAGATAGAGAGTCAAGGGTGTTCTGCCACACATTTGCAGGGTACTCCTAGATTGTAAGCTCCCAGGATCAGGGCCCTCCTATCCCTCTTGTATTGAACTGTATTGTTGCTGTATTGTCTCCAGTTATATTTTAAAGCGCTGACCAAACTGTTGGCACTAAATAAATCCTGTATAATAATACTCAAAATAAATGCATATACATAGGAGCTCTTTTGTTTAAAAAGGTCATTTATAAAAAAAAAAAAAAAAAAAAACAAAAAAAAAAAAACTGGGCATCACTCTTTGAAACAGAAGGTGAAAGTTCACAGGAGTGCATTAGGAATACAGAACATTTGCCCTATATAACCTAGTAGATGTTCCTTCATTCTAACACAATTGTTATCATTTGAGATGAAAAAAAGTTCCAGAATCAAGAAAAAAAGACAAAAAAAAAAAAAAAAAAGTATTCTCACCTAGGTGGATGCAGCATCAGTCTCCGTCCCCAGCCGCCTCTAAGACCAAGAACAGAGCAAACACTGCTGATCACTCAATATTCAGCCTTTGGTGATAGAGAATGGAGACAGTCAATCACTGGAGCTCTGCTCTCCCCCTCGATCGCTCACTGGAGCGCCGGGCTGCGGTGGAGACAGGAGCAGCTGGCACAGGCCCTCAGCAGTTCAATGAGATGCTGTGTTGCAGCTGCCGGTCCAGTCAGCTGGGTGGATCTCAACATAGTTGGGATCTCTCCAGAGGCTGGACTGGCTCTGTGACATCAGAAAAAAGGTGAAGTAGGGCCAAAGCTCTTGTGGGCCTACTTATTGGTGATCACCGGAGTGCACTCCTGTGACCCTTTTTTTTTTTTTTTAGCCAACAGTAGGATAAAGCCCACTGTCGGCTAAAAAAATCAAAGGTCACAGTAGTGCACTCTGGTGATCCCCAAAAGGTAGGCCCACAAGAGCTTTGGCCCTACTTCACCTTTTTTGATGCAGACAGCATAGGAAACAGGACTAAATTTGTGGCAGGATCAACAATTTTTTTTTTTTGTCCTTCACAAACAAAATGGTATATTTCAAGTGGAACTAAACCCATAATAATTTAATAAGGATTACCTGTAGGTACTGTAACATCTCCTAAACATGGACCGTTTAGGAGACCTTTACTGTAGAAGCACCAGCGATGTCACCGGCATATACGCACCGAGCGCTCAATGGACTGCGTGCCGTCCTTTGAGGGAGCCTGCTGCCTCCAAAACGCGGGAGTGACATCACAGCTTGGCCAGATGACCGCAGCTCATGAACCCAGAAGGAAGACCGGGTGTAGAAGGAAGCCTCAGGGAGCTGTGGCACCTCTCCACTGGAAGGCTTTGTTTTCAGGTACGTCTTTCATGATGTGCTAATATGAGTTTGCTCTTAACTTGCAGGGAGAAGATTTTTAGATTTTTTTTTCTCTCTTTTTTTTTTTCACATTACCGTTTTAATAGATCAAAAAGGAGCAAGTAAGAAGTTCATTGCTAGGAACTTACATACATTTTTATTTGTCTTGGGGGTGGTAGGGCAAGAACCTCAGTCAGGTTTTCATTGCCATCTGCTTTCCTGTTGGCAAGATTTCCCCTAGCTCTTGAAAGTGGTCACTGCTACAAATCGTGGGCAGCACAGTGGCTAAATGGTTAGCACCTCCACCTGGCAGTACTCGGGTTGTTGGTTTGAATCCCAACCACGGCACCACCTGCCTGGAGTTTGCATGTTCTACCTGTGCCTGCATGGGTTTCCTCCGGGTACGTCGGTTTCCTCCCACACTCCAAAGGCATGCCGGTAGGTGAACTGGCTCCGGTCTAAACTGGCCCAAGTATGTGTATGTATGAATGTGAGTTAGGGACATTCGATAAAATCAAATGGTAGGTGAATTGTAACACAGAGACAGAATAGCAACAAAAAAATTCAGCAGAAATGTGTCTAACAAATGACTGATTTGCGTGTTCATGAGGGAAATAAGTATTTGATCCCCTTCACAAAACATGACTTAGTACTTGGTGGCAATCCTTTGTTGGCAATCACAGAGGTCAGACGTTTCCTGTAGTTGGCCCCCAGGTTTGCACACATCTCAGGAGGGATTTTGGCCCACTCCTCTTGGCAGATCCTCTCCAAGTCATTAAGGTTTGGTGTCTGATGTTTGGCAACTCGAACTTTCAGCTCCCTCCACAGATTTTCAATCGGATTAAGGTGTGGAGACTGGCTAGGCCACTCCAGGACCTCAATGTGCTTCTTGAGCCACTCCTTTGTTGCCTTGGCCGTGTGTTTTGGGTCATTGTCATGCTGGAACACCCATCCACGACGACCCATTTTCAATGCCCTGGCTGAGGGAAGAAGGTCCTCACCCAAGATTTGATGGTACATTGCCCCGTCCATCGTCCCTTTGATGCGGTGCAGTTGTCCTGTCCCCTTAGCAGGAAAACACCCCCAAAGCAGAATGTTTCCACTTCCACGTTTGACAGTTAGGATGGTGTTCTTGGGGTCATAGGCAGCATTCCTCCTCCTCCAAACATGGCGAGTTAAGTTGATGCCAAAGAGCTCGATTTTGGTCTCATCTGACCACAACACTTCCCACCAGTCCTCCTCTACATCATTCAGATGTTCAGTGGCAAACTTCAGACGGGCCTGGACATGTGCTTTCTTGAGCAGAGGGACCTTGCGGGCACTGCAGGATTTCAGTCCTTGTCGGCGTAGTGTGTTACCAATTGTTTTCTTGGTGACTGCGGTCCCAGCTGCCTGGAGATCATTGACAAGATCCTCACGTGTAGTTCTGGGATGATTCCTCACTGTTCTCATGATCATTGACACTCCACGAGGTGAGATCTTGCATGGTGC